ACAATTCAAGGAAACCAATTACAAACAAGATTGTAAGTATAGAGGGCTGAAGAACTAGGGATTTTAGAGACCATGTCATTCATGTTGAGATAATTAGAAGATAATGAAATCACTGCTTAACCTCATACATTGATGACTCCTACAGTGAAGCTACTCTCTGATATCAGATGATGATGTTGAGATTGATCAGTAGTCCTTATACATTACATGAGTTCTGTGTTTTAGTAACTAGAATCATCGTGTTTTTGTTTCTTATTATTTTGTAAAGGTTCACATATCCTGGTCTAAGTCTAATGGACCTGAAGTGGAAAGAAAAAGGAATGATAAAGCAGAAGTGTTACAGATATGATAAGAAAAATATCAGGCATGAGTCACTGGTACAAAAGTTAGGGTAAGATCATGGGATAATGAGAAGGTGTTATTATAGTAAAGCCAACTTGTTGTTATTGTTTAGCGCCGTAGAGTTGGTTGTGACCCATAGCGACCCTGTATAGGGTTTCTGAGGAGCAGCTGGTGAACTTGAACCGCCGATCTTGTGGTTCAAATTGAGTTTGCAATCCAGCGCATTAACCCACAGTGCCACACTAGGAGTCCAGAAAGTCAGCTAGACAAACATTTATAAAGATCTTCTTCGACACTTTCAGGATGAAACTGGAAAAGTCAATGACATTCCTGGTGTTCTGAAGACTTCAACAAAAGAACTCTAATTGGAATTAGAAAAAAAAATAAGGTAGGAACTTGGAAGAGAAATTAGATTTGTTTTTCTCTCCATCCTATCCAAATTTACATAGAAAAGATAATGTTGTTGTTATTAAGTGCGTGAAGTCACTTTGTCTCATAGGAACTCTGTATAGGTAGGGCGTCCAAAGAGCAGCTGGTGAGGTTGAACTACAGACCTTGGAGTCCAGTGCATTAACCCTCAGTGCTACCCCAGGACTTCAGAAAAAGTAATGTTGTTGTTGTTGTGTGCCGTGGAGCCACTTCCGACTCATAGCGACCCTGTACAAGGTTTCCAAGGCTGTAAATCTTTACGGGAGCAGAAAGCTTCATCTTTCTCATGTGTAACAGCTGGTAGTTTCAAATTACTGACCTTGCGGGTTCGCAGCACGATTCCTAACCACTATGCTACCAGAGCTCCTTTCAGAAAAGGTAATAGTAGACTGAAAATGTTGAGGAATAGAAAGAATTTTGTTAAGGAAGGACTGATGCTGAAAAGTATGCCACTTGATCCTTCATGTAGTTGCCATAGATTTCTGTGCTTAATGTCCTTACCTTGGCTAATTTCTTACGATGTTTCTTACTGTGTGTGCAAATCAGGAGATCTGAGAGATGGAGAGCAGCCCAGTGGCTTGTCTTATCCTATGCAATCCGTGGAAATGAAACATGAATCAGAGTGTATGACAAGAATCAGAAGGGAGGGTTAAAGGAGGAGTCCTCGCGTGGTGCTATAGGATAAGCACTGGACTATTAACCACAAGGTCAGCACTTCAAACCCACCAGCCCCTCCTTGGAAACCCTATATAGGGTCACTATGACTTGGTACTAACTCCAGGGCACTTACCAACAACAACCACTACACTGATTACATTGTCTGTCTTGCAGTTTGGATTCAGTTTACTAACTGAAAGTTTGGCAGTGCAAACTCACACCATGTTTCAGAAGACAGAATTGGTGATCTACATCCAAAAGGTCACAGCCTTGAAAACCCTGTGAGGTACAGTTCTGTTCTGTAACACATGGGGTGACCATGACTTAGAATATAATAAAAGGCAATTATTATTATTTTTTACTTTTCTAACAACTGATAGTTACTTTAGTTTCTTAATCTTAAATTTGGGTCTGATCTGAACTGACAACTCACTCTGAATTTCAGCTACTCCAAAAGAGTTTTTGTTGATTTGTAGGTAGGTCTATGGTCACATGTTAGTGGAACAAAAAGCATGATTCAAATACTGTGTAATTCAAACACAAGTACACTTTCTCACGATATGACCGTCATAATGAATTCTTGTTGTTTCACATTGCCATCTCTTTTTACATCTACAGAAAAATACAAGAACAGGATGAGGAGCTGTAATCAGAGCAGTGTGTCTGAATTCCTCCTTCTGGGACTTCCCATCCAGCCAGAGCGACAAGGCATATATTACGCCCTGTTTCTGGGCATGTACCTCAGCACAGTGCTGGGGAACCTGCTGATTATCCTGCTCATCAGGCTGGACTCTCGCCTTCACACCCCCATGTACTTCTTCCTCAGCCATTTGGCTCTCACTGATATCTCTTTCTCAACAGTCACAGCCCCCAAAATGCTGATAAACATGCAGATACACAGCCAATCCATTTCATATGCTGGCTGCATTTCCCAAGTGTATTTTTTCTTATTCTTTGCAGATATTGACAGTTTCCTTCTCACTTCAATGGCCTATGACAGGTATGTGGCCATTTGTCACCCCCTCCACTACACCACCATCATGAGTCAGAGCCTGTGTTTCCTGCTAGTAATCATGTCCTGGGTTTTATCCTTTGCCAGCGCTCTATTGCACACCCTGCTCCTGACTCGTCTCTCTTTCTGTGGAGAAAACACTCTCGCCCACTTCTTCTGTGACCTTTCTGCCTTACTTAAGTTATCCAGCTCAGACACCACAATCAATGAACTGGTTATTCTTACTGTGGGGGTGGTGGTCATTACCCTTCCTTTCATATGCATCCTGGTCTCTTATGGCCACATTGGGGCCACCATCCTGAGAGTTCCCTCCACTAAGGGGATCTGTAAAGCCTTGTCCACCTGTGGTTCCCACCTAACTGTGGTGTCTCTATACTATGGGGCTATTATTGGATTGTACTTTTTTCCTTCACTCAGTAACTCCAATGACAAAGATGTCATTGTGGCTGTATTATACACTCTGGTTACTCCCATGCTAAATCCCTTTATCTATAGTCTGAGGAACCGGGACATGAAAGGAGCTCTGGGAAATATACTCAGTAGAAGAACACTTTCACCATAGTGTTCACTAAAGTTAAGCTTACCTATGGAGTTGTGAGCAGACAAAATGCTGTTTTAGGCCATCAGGTTTTGGGTTTTTTTTTTTTTTTTTTCATAAAGTTAACTGATACATTTCTCATATTCCTATGGCATTCACACTCCTTGTTCATACTGATGACTTCTTACTGAGGACAGGTGCAAAGTTGTCTGTTCTAGGACAGGCCAAATAGGATAGAGACTTAATGGTTCCAGAAGAATCTCTTAGTCATGGACAGAAAGGAACTGGTGAAAACAATTCCAGTTATCGAACCGGTTGCATGGGACAACTCAGGCATGTTGTAAGAAAACCATTACACGGAGGCTCAGCGGTAACTTTCTATTAACATACAATCAATGTATTGTCTGTGTACCCTTTCATGTCTCAGACACCTACTTTCCTACTGGGTCTTTCTGAAATTCTCTTCCTAATAAATCATTTCTATTCAAATACTTTCCTAGACTCGACCTCTGGGGGACCTCACCCTAAGAAAATTTTAAAAAAGTTGTTTTATGAAGCCACTCAGGACAGGATTCTGGTTTAGGATCACTTGCTGGTCACAGAGCATATTACTGTGTTATTAGGAATGTGACAACTGTGGTATGCAGCAGCATCATAATTACCAAGATTCTTACCTGATTAATTGGATTGATATATTGGTGAGAGGGAAATCACTGCCTTATGAAATAAATAGAGCACTTTGAGAATTACTTGCATTTGGCAATTATACGATCCATAGAGTTGGTAGAGCAGCCTTGGTGGCATGTGGTTTAAGTGATGGGGAACTGATCACAAGGTCAGTAGTTCAAGCCCAACAGTCACTACTTGGATTCTATCTGCTTTGGTAAAGATTTACAGCATCTGTAACCCTATGATGCAGTCTGATCCAGCCCTGTAGGGTTGCTATGAGTTGGAATCGACTTAATGGCAGTGGGTATGGAGTTGGTTGGCCTTTGTTAATAACTAGAGCTGCAATATTGGGCTCAAATTAGGAACAACTGTGAGGATGATGGTGGATTTGGTAGTATTTTGTTCTGTTATACAAACTATCACTATAAATCAGAACGAACTTGATGGCACCTAACAACAGAAACAACAATAGATGCCAAAGTGGGAGGAAATAACCTTCAAGTGAGTGGCCTAACAATTCAGGACAGTGTGTGAAAGTCAGACAGCTCATGCGACATTTAAATAGACCCTCATTTTCTGTTTTGGAAGGCAGACTGGTCAAAGAAAACCCAAGATATGATTCTATGAGGTTGGCAGATCCTGCTAATGAAGTAACAGGTCAACTTTATAGCATTTTTTACTTGAAGAAAAGGAATATGAGTGGCCATTGGATGAAGTATAGCAGAATATGCCATGTCCTGTCATGTTCCATGGCTTCTCACTGCTTCTGAATATGACAAGGACTTTCTTATACTAAGTACCAACAATCTTCTGACCGAGGATTTTCTCTGTCTAGATACGTGTAGTTTGCCTTCTATGTGGGACCAGCTGGAAGTGTTGAGGAATTCATTGCTGCTGATTGTTGATGATTAATGTCATTGAGTCAGTTCTGAGTTACAGTGACCCTGTAAAGGGTTTCCAAGGAGTGGCTGGTGGGTTTGAACTGCCAGCTTTGCATTTCAAACCTCCCTTGTGGTCCAATGTTTATCCTATGGCACCTCATTGAAAAAGCCATCATTGATTGGTGGATGGGATATAAAACTATAGTTTTTCTTCCTCTTGATAAAACAATTTAAGGAGTGTTTTGTATTGATTCCCAGGCATGTTTGGCAGACTGGTCTCCAGCTAGCCCCAGCTGTAATCTAATCAATAACATACCCTTGAATAGTTGCCATCCTTCTCGATCTCACTCCCTATCCCTTTAAGTTGCATCCTGTTGTTGTTGCATGCCGTCGAGTTGGTTTGGACTCACACCAACCCTGTATAAGGGTTCTGAGGGGAGGTTGGTTAATTTGAGCTGCTGACCTTGCATCTCAAACGACCTTGTGGTCCAGTGTTTATCCTACAGCACCACACCAGGACTCCAAGTTTCATCTTAGGATCCCCCAAAGTAAATTATTTGCACTCAAACCCTCTTTCTCAGGTGTCCATTCCTCTGTGGGTGTATCTTAGCCATTTATATGAGGATTAGGATGCTTTTTGGATTCTGGAGCACTGTTATATATCAGGATGTGAGCTGTTTACTAAGTCCTGTTGTTCCAGAGACATTAGTTTAAATGGACAGTGACACTTAATGGGTATGAGGTTCCTTTTCGGGTGAACTACAACTAGAAATCCCTGGTACCATAGTGGTTACAAATTGGGCTGCTAACCTCAAGGCCAGCAGTTCGAAACTACCAGCTGTAACACGGGAGAAAGATGAGGCTTTCTGCTCCCATAAAGATTTACAGCCTCAGAAACCCTGTACAGGGTCGCTATGAGTCGGAACCAACTCCACGGCACATAAGTACCACCAACCACAACTAGAGAAGTGATAGAATAGAATTTTGAATGGAATAAATGTCACCGAGGGCAATACTTTACAATTGTTAATTTTATGTTATCTGAATTTTACTTAATTAAAAACCAAGAAACCCTGCTTAAACAAATGGCTATACCTTCTTGGATGAGTAGCAAATGATCAGTTTGTGTCTGTTGCTCTGGTGTTATTTGTACTAGTTTCCCAACTTAGTTTCAGAAGTATCCCACTTTGGGTAATATATGAGAAGAACACTTCATCTCTAAGGCATAGACTTCTCACTAATACATAAACGCAAGGCAGTGTCATTTGATTCCAGATCCCAGTGGTAGCTCAGCTGTGGCCAGTAGTTGAATGGGTAACTTTCCCAGAATAAGAGCTTGTTAGTTCTTGGAGTCTTATCTCTCTCTGTGGCTAGACTGAGATATTCTGAAGATTCAAGCAAATCTTGAATCTTCCAAACCATGTACTGATATATTTCTATAAATTCACCCATTGCATAAGATAGAGGTTGCAGTGAGCATCTGTTAGTCATAATCCCCATTTCTCAGACCCTGTTATTTTAAATCCTCGTCATCCACAGCAGAAAAGCCAGGTTTGAAACAGGAAAATCAGAGTGATGTGTCCAAATTCCTCTTCCTGGGGGTCCTTATCTTATTAAATTAACAGAGAGTGTAACTGACCATTAGATTCTTTAGATATTGTCTAGCTAGCTGGATTCACAATGCCAAAATGAAAAGATTTAAGTTATACTGCCTTTTGTTAGTATCTTCTTACTCTCCAAGACCCTGATACTATGTAAGCTTTAAGTGGAAGGTTGGCAGTACTGGTAATACCAGTCGTTCTTCAGGAGAAAGATGAAACAGCTGCTCTGGTAAGGATTTCCAGCCTTAGAAACCTTCAGGAGCAGCTCTTCTCTGTCCTATATGGTTGCTATAGATCAGAATTGACTCTGTCATAGTGGGTTTGGTTGTTTGTTTATAGTATTCACAGACACAGTTCAAAGCTACGGTGGCTTGATGCTGAAATGCTGAGTGTAATTCCCAAGCAAGGAACTTGGCATCATTATCTTGCTGCTATGTATATGCACTGCCTTTTAAAAGGCTGGATTCTAAATAATGCTGAACATAAGTTTCACTGTTCAAAAGTCTTTTTTTGTAGGCTGGTTGGTCTGAAGGGTAGTAAAACTTGGAGACTCCTGAGTCCATGGACAAAGACCTAGCCACACAGGGCTAGAGCCAAAAATGAAGCTTCCAGCTGATAAAGAATTGAGGGGAGATGCACAAGAATGCTCAGACTTTCAGATAATACCCATTTGATGATGATTTGATGATCAGAACTCTACTAGAAGAAGATAAAGAAGTTTGATAAAGGAAGCAAGTGTATATTGCTACAATTTGATGAACTTGACCTATACTTACGGATGTAGTAGCTCAAAATACTGAGAGGGAAGTAGTCTTCACATCAAAGATCAAAACTATCATCTCTGTACACAGGGTTGATAGGGACAGGCAATTTAGATATTGGCTACCTAAAATGGCAGGGAAGGGAAAGGGGATCGGCTATAAAGGCAGGATGTGACTAGTTTAGAAGTTTTCAAGAGAGAATTTAGTTTTAGAGTGTGTATGGGAAGTAAAGTTCCCACTGGATACTTTTCCTCTTGTCTTGATGGGTCTGCTGAAAGGAGAAGGGAATAGGATTCATTTGATTCAATAGTAAGTAATTGTTACCATACCTAATTGCGATTGTCACAACTGTAAAGGTAGAAGTTGTGTAACAATAAGCGGGGAGTAGTTAGTCTTACATTCCAGGAACAGAGGACTCTAAGACTATCAAGAGAGAAGAGCATGAGCGGAACATGGGACCCTAACCAGAGAAGCAGCAACACCAGAGATGGAGGCAGAGGTGATGACATGGAGAGATTGAGTAGATATGTAGATAAGGACTCATTGAAAGAGAAATGCTGTGTCCTGGCTGCCAGGAGGCAGACTTGCAGAATGTGCCCTTTGGTTGCAAGACCAATGCTTTCTTCATTACAAATACCATTTTTAAACAACAAAAAAGACAACTATACATATGGAATACACAGAAATCAAAGTGAATACATCTGTGGAAAGAGACTGTGGAAAAGTTTCATATCATCAGCCAAAACAAGGACCATCAATTGCCCATATATATCCAAGTTCAGGCTGAAGCTGAAGAAAATTAAAGCAAGTCCATGAGAGCCAAAATATGACCTTGAACATATCCCACCTGAATTTAGAAATAATTTGAAGTACAGATTTGATGCATTTGACACTAAGACCAAAGACCACAAGAGTTGTAGGATTATTTGCTCAACATACAAATTTATATGAATGAAAGATATTTGCAATGAATAAGTCATTGGTCTTGCAAAACTCTATCGTGTGATCTCCAGAATCTTTGTCACCAAGACTATATTTTCTGACTTGTGATTCTTCCTTTGTTTCCAACTTTTGCATTTCAATTACAAGTAATGGTCATTACATTTTGAATA